CAGCCTAGCCTCTATTTTTTTGTCGCATGTGATTGTAAATTCAATAAACATCTTGACCTCAACCATTCTTTTGATGAAGATCCTTGTCAAGATCACTAATATTTCATTTTCTGTTTCGTATTTCAATATTGATACTCAACAAAAAGAGGTGAATTACAAAAAAGTGAAAACTCCTCAAAATAATTGCAACTTTCATGGAGGTACATGTGAATGTGTTTGATGCAAGTGAAAGTTGTGGAACGGGATAAAACCCTCACTTGCACCCACATTTACTTCCATAAAAATGCTACTATTTTGAGTTGTTTCCACTCTTTTTACAATTCCTTGCAAAAGATATGCAATTTTAGATTCTTTCAAGGTGCATCCAGCTACAGAATTCAGAGTTGGCTTTAAGAGAAGGATCTTTGTGCCTTCAAATTCAAATTTTCAATTTGGGTGCAATCCTTTAAATTGATTCGGCAATCCACCCAAAATCCAATATATTTACTTTGGTTATGAAGAGGAATGAGTTTTAATCACAAATCTCAAAACTAAAATTGGAGCACGAGTTCAAAAGGTCCATGACAGCTATCATCCAAGAAAGGTTATCAAGTGCACATATGAAACATTGAAATTCATAAGCCAAAATGATCATAAATACTTAATCAAGTCTTGTCAGAACCATAAGCAATGGTTTGAGACTAGGGCAACAAAGGATTAGGGAATAGGGTGTTAAAGGAATTTTCAAATCTTTGGTTAAACAAACTGCAGATATCCACAATTTTCTTTTTTTATTTTTTAAATTAAAAATAAAAGGGAAGAGTAGTTTTATAGAAGGCAATTCAGCAAGGCTACCAAAGCAGCATTAACAAGAAAGTAAATGTTTTTTGGTTACATTATGCCATCCAGAAGAAAGGAAAACTAGCTGTAAGATTTTGTGTATTATTGATTGATATAATGTTATTTTTATTACAATGATTCATGATTCCTATATATAGAAGAGGGTGAGTGTGTAGTAGGTAAGGAGTAGGTGAAGTAGAGGTGGTAGTGGTGTAGTGGGTTAGGTTTAGTGGAGTAGGTTTAAGTGGGTGAAGTAGGTGATAGGTTTTAACAGCCCCCCGCAAACTCAAGGGGGATAGGAACTAGCCAACTTGAGTTTGGAGAGAGTAACAAAACAAGAAAATAGACGAATACATAAAAGAAAAGAGGATAGGAGACACTGTATGGTCGTGTCAGACCGATGGTGAAGACACTGTATGGTGGTGTCATAACGTTGTAGAGGACACTGGATGGTTGTGTCAGACCGATGTAGAAGACAGTTTATGGGGTCATGTCGGACCGTTGTAGCAGACAATGTTGTGATAGTTGTTGTGACAGTTTACGGAGTCTTGTTGGACCCTTGTAGAAACTAACCGAAATCAATGTCGGGACAGTTTACAGAGTCTTGTCGGACCCATGAAGGAGCTAACCGGAATCAATGTCGGGACAGTTTACAGAGTCTTGTCGGACCCTTGTAGAAACTAACCGGAATCAATGTCGGGACAGTTTACAGAGTCTTGTCGGACCCATGAAGGAGCTAAACGGAATCAATGTCGGGACAGTTTACAGAGTCTTGTCGGACCCTTAAAAAGTCGCACCCTCACAAGGTGTGCCCAATCTGTCAAAAAAAAGCGTGCCATCAAAAGGCGTGCCCAATCCATAAAAAGGCGTGCCATCAAAAGACGGGCCATCAAAAGGCGCGCCCATGTTGTCGTCGAGCGCCGAGCGGCACATGATGCGCGTGTCTGCCTCTTCGTCAGGGTCTTTATAAACTGAGGCGGAGGCTGTGCTTGAGGCAGAAGCGAAGACAAAAAAAACTGGGAAAAAACTTCTGAAAAACTCTTCATTTTCTGAGAGAGATATTCGTTTTCTGAGAGATTGCCTCTAAGAGCTGCAAATCTTGAAACACTCTGTAACCAACCCTTCCGAACATTATCATTCTGAAATTGCTATTTCGCTGAAACACTCAGCATTCCAAAAAACATGGCCTCTTCTTCCCGTTCAGCTACCCAGAATATGGCCTCTTCATCCCGTGGTCTACTCACTCTCTTTCCCGACCTCAACGAGTCAACAAGAGAGATAACTGGTGCGGTAGCCCGTGAACCTCAACAAAACACCTCTGGTTTTGCTCCGTTGAACTTTCCGATGCGGTCGGTGGAGCAAAAAATGGCGGTGCAAACTGATATTGAGGCCAATCAGTATACTTTGAAGTCATGTGTGGAAACCATGACTGCGGTCACAAACTTGTCGCACCGGCTGCAGAGCAGGACAAATGAGGTGCAGCAGTTAAACGCCCAACTGGCTCTGCTCCAACGCATGTATAAGGATGCGCGAGCAGAGATAAGTGTGCTAAAGGCGAAAAATAAGGAGCTGAAGCGGAAGGCCACCGTGATGTTTCGATTTGGAGGTCCGCCATATGCTGCAGTGGAGGAGCAGGGCGGAGTGAATGTGCTCGGTGGATTAGGAAGCACAGAGGCAGCACCGTCAAGGGCCGCTCAGGACGGAGGCAAGAAGAAGAGACCGGCGGCAGAGTAGAGAAGAAAAATCCTGCCTGTGGATGGGTGTTTGTGTTTTGTTTTTTTTGTTTTTTTTTTTTTTTTTTTTTTTTTTGTGTGGTGTAAAATGGTGATCGGGGTTAAGCCTCAGCATGAAGAAAGGACAAGTTTGTGGAATGTTGTTTTTGTTTTTTTTTTTTTTTTTATTGTATTTTGTTTTTGTTGTTTTTTTTTTTAAAAAAAAAACAAAAAAAAATATTTTTGGATGAGTTATTTGAAAAAGAGATAGTATTGTAGAGTGGGTATTTGAAAGAGATTAAAAGTGGTTTGAAGAAAATAAATAAAAATAATGAATTTTGAAATCAAACGGAGGAGAGAGAGGGGACAAGATCACCAGTGTCACATGACCCTTCTATTTCAAATATGCCTTTGTTGACTGAGATGCCTTCTTAACCCCTCATTTGTGTTTCCATTGCCCGGAACAAGCCCAAAAAATTAAGCCCAATCCGTGTATACAACCAAGCCATGTAAGCAGCCCACGAATTTCAAACAAAACGTGGCCACAACCAGTAACTCCATGCTTCTTAAACTTGTGCCATGGGCCCCACTTATTAGAACCCACACCAATTGTCAAAGCCCACCAAACTAGGCAGTACAGATATTTGTAGCCCTTCAAAAAAAAAAATGGGACAGATGAGGCCCATGATTTGCCTCACCTAACAGCCCACAATAACAATCCCAATACGTATGAGATCCTCTGATACAGCACAACCATGCTTCAGCAAAACTAATCTCCATATAATCGTTAAGTCGGCTTCATCTCGACGAAAGTGATTGGCAACAGCATAGAAGCAATGATTTGAGTCATAAAGAGAATGGTATCTCTTTCTCGTCACATGGGCTGTCTCTCTTGCAAGTAGGTGGGATAAAATAAAATAAAAAGAAAGTGGGGTGGTGGAAAAGTAGTGTTAGACAGAGAGAAGGCATGTGGGTTTGAAAGTGAAAAAAAGAGAGAGAACAGCGTTTGTAAATTGGACTTTGTTGTTTGAGAGAGAGAGAGACCGTGGGTTTGGTCTCACCAAAAATCAGAAATATAGAGAGTGGAGGTGGAGCTAAGACTCCAGGCTGCGCTACCGTAGGAAGAAAATAGCCAGCGAAGTAGTTTGATGAGACATAGGTGTCTAGGGAATTCCCTCGGCCTCAATAGTTCTCCGGATTTGAACCTTCACTGCAAATGTAGATTTTTCTGGTTCAACTGCATGAAGACGGTCCACATCGCTTCCAAACTCCGAGGGCAAGAATCTCTTGATGTTTCCAGCTTCTTTAATGGCAGCGATGATCTTGGTCTGATCTGCTAACTGCATAGATCCAACCGTTGAAATCACCACATCCACCTGCTTAATCGCCTTCACCAAACTCTCGTGATTGTGCAGATCACCATGGACCAAAGTGAAGGCGGAGTTCTTGAAACCCTCGATGAGTTTGGTGAAGCAGAGTGAAGGTATGTGTAGCAAAATTCTAGCGGACTAGGTTGAGGTCCGGCGGGCAGTCAAGGCGAGGTTGCCGCCCGCCGGTGTCGCGAAAAAAATACTAAATTCTTAACCTGGCTCTGATACCATGTAAGATTTTGTGTATTATTGATTGATATAATGTTATTTTTATTACAATGATTCATGATTCCTATATATAGAAGAGGGTGAGTGTGTAGTAGGTAAGGAGTAGGTGAAGTGGAGGTGGTAGTGGTGTAGTGGGTTAGGTTTAGTGGAGTAGGTTTAAGTGGGTGAAGTAGGTGATAGGTTTTAACACTAGCATTTTCTGAAAAAAAGACTTGATAGGCACAAGGATGGGGGAAACTGAAGGTGCTATTCTTTATTGTAACTACCCAAGGAAGAGGAATCCAAAAAATATTTTAAGTTTATTCGTAGTTGAACTTTTTCTTGTACAATTCAAAGGAAGATGTGAATGCTTCTGGACAGACATTTTTGCCATGTCACAGAAAAGTGGACTGAGTTTAGAATTAGAAAGCCAAAAATATGAAGCACATAAATAAACACCATCACTAACATGTAAAAAATGTTTCATTTCAGAATACAAACCAAAACACCTGTAATAAAATCTATTAAAATAACCTACTATTCTCACATAGTGTTCCCAAAGAAAAAAGAGAAGGCAGAGGTTAACTACAAACTACTCCCACCCTAATATCCAATACATGAGCATTAAAACTTCTTAATGCTAATGAATCAGATACTTTTCCATCTCACTTGTATTATGTAGTAAAAAATGTAACAGGATATGTTTTTGATTCATCAACTATTACAGGAAAAAACCTCAGCAACCTTGGAGATATATTACTAAAATCCATTTGAGGTGAACCAGAAACTAATAAAAAAATAAATGCTTCCTAATCCTAACTATCAACACCAAGTAAATAGTAATACTTATTTTACAAATTCAATTATATTAAAAAAAGACAGCTGAACAGACCAAAAGAAAAATAAATCAAAAAAAGAAAAAGAAAAAATAAAGCACCTGGGGTACAGCACAATCAGCATGAGCTGGATCCCAAAGGACAGCGCGGAAACACTCCCAGTTATCAGTTTGAACTTCAAAAAGAGGTGCCCTATGATATCAACAACTACATTAAGCATCTTGAGCTTCATAAAGATTCACTTGTAACCATCTTGAAAAAGTGTGAAAGGCAAAATTATCAGAAGGCAAAAAGAAAAATGAAAATGAAAAGATAGCAATGCATTACACATGATCATTCTTAAAGCTGCAGTAGAAGATTTATCTTTTTTTTTATTACGAAAATAACCTTTTCAGTACTAACTTAATGGTATGAAGCTTGGCAATATGGTAAAATCAGCACAACTGACAGCTGATTAAACCAACAGAATTATTGCTTATGTTTCTCACGGTAAATTGATTTCCCAGGCAGATGCAGATAAGAAAATAATACCAAATCAAATATTATAAGCCAACAAATGTAATCAGGTAACATCTGCATGTAGCATGGCCAACTGCTAAAATATTCTCACATCACATTTACTTGAGCTCTATACTATACTTCAGAGAACATGAACTAGACCTAGACCTACAATTCAAGAATGAACATAGTTTTTTGGCACAAAAGATGCTACACGGTAATTAATTTATTTCATGTCTGTGTTTAAGATTCCAGTCAAGGTAGCAAAATCTATTGAAAAGTTAACAAGGGATTTTCCATGGGAAGGGAAAGATGAGGGAAGGAAGGATCATTTGGTGAATTGGGAAACGGTATCCTTATCTAAGGAGAAGGGGGGTTTGGCCACTGGTAATATAGTGGCTAGAAACATGGCTCTGCTGGGCAAGTGGTTAAGGCGATTCCCTAATGAGTGTGGTTCATTATGGCATGCGGTTATTAAAAGTAAATATGGGATTCAGGTTAATGGTAGGGACTCTCAGGTGGTCTCGAGGGATAACTGGCGTGCTCTTTGGAAGTCCATTTCCCAGATTTATCCGATTTGTCCCGATTCATTTCTGTGGGGTGAGTAATGGGGAAAAGGTCAAATTTTGGGAGGATGTTTGGGTAGGCTCGACGTCCTTGGCTGAGTCCTATCCACTTCTGTATGGCATTTCTCAGTCTCATAATTGTTCTGTTGCGTCTGTGGCGGGTTCTTTGGTGGCTCCTTTATCTTGGAATTTTAATTTCCGCCGAAATCATCATAAGAGGGAAGTTCTGGAATTGGTTTCTCTTTTGTCAAGGCTCGAAAATATTTCTTTGTCTCTAAATTTGGAGGATAGGTTGGTTTGGAATATTCATTCGTCGGATTCTTTTACTTGTAAATCCTTTCTTGATAAAATCATTAATACTTATCATATACCTCAGTTTCTATTTCATAACAAGATTTGAAAGGCGTGTACTCCTCTTAAGGTGAAAGTGTTCATGTAGATCTTGGTTCATGGGGGCACTCTGACAAATGATTCATTGCAAAAGAGGAGACCTTTGCGGTATCTTAATCCTCAATGGTGCATCATGTGTTGTAAAAGTGGAGAATCTCTAAATCATCTCTTTTGGCATTGCTCGGTGGCTAGGTGGTTATGGCATAGGGTGGTTGGATTGGGTAGTGTGATGTGAGTGGCCCCAAAAGGATGTGCTCAAATGCTATTATTTGATTTTCAAGTTTTTGGAAGGTTGAAGAGGGCTAAAGTGCTTTGGAGTGGTGTCGTCTTTGCAATTTTCTGGGTTGTTTGGTTGGAAAGAAATGCCCGTGTTTTCGAAGAAGTTGCCCAGGATATAGACTATTTATGGGAGATGGTGAGATACTTGGCGTCTTTTTGGGCCTCGGCAAGCTCAGTATTTCAAGGGATTCCGCTTTTTTTGCTTGCTACCAATTGGGTGTCAGTTTGTTCTGTATAGTAGTTTTGAGTTTGGTATTTTTGTATTTTCTTTTCTCTTTTTGATTTTTTCCATCTCTCTTGTAAGAAGATGCCTTATCCTCATTTTTCATGGCCTTGAGCCTTAATATATCTTTGTTTGTTGCTGATCAAAAAAAAAAATGATCTCATATTTATTACTTTCGACTGTATAGTGTAATGCCAGTCAACAATACTACAACCATGTACTTTTCACAAAGGTATATTTATGCATCATACAAGAAAAGAACGAAGATTCTCTACTCTTAAGTGGTGAAGAAAGATTGGAAATCCTCAACATGAATACAGACTTATTCTTAGAAATTTAAACCATTTGCTTCAATCTCTTTCATAATCCATGCAAATATAATCCCACAGTAATAGTTAAAATGTAAATGATCTTTAGAAACTATTCAAGATTTTGTTGTTTCCTGCATTTTCTTTAACATGCAAAGAATTTGTTTTTATTAAAAAGGTGATCCCAAAAGCACAATAGCTTCTAAATGAAACACACAAAAAAGAGAATATTATAACACGTAGGTTTTTTATGGACAAGAGATATCATGGCTCATAATTATACAAATGAAGATGTAGACAGTTTCAGATCACCTGCGCCACTTTCCACAAATGTTTCCATCAACACCTTCTCCTATTCCTTCTATAACTTCTTGGCATTGAAGCCAATTACCAATAGAGCTGAGTCTAGAAGGCTTGCAGGAATTCCAACCCTACATGTAAATAAAATATAGTCCTTTTCTCTTTAGTACTCCTGTAATCTACTGCCAATTGAAATGAGACAGTCTACACACAAATACAAGCCTCACATGCAAGCTAATACACTCTGAAGGATCGATTTCCGATGGTTCAGCAACAGTATCAATGTCACTGCACCAAATCAAAGCAGCAACAATAAGTTAAAGGGGTGTATTACAGCACAAATAGATATCAATAACAAGTCAAGTGGTGAACAATTTAATTCAACAATCCATCAATGAAGCATAATGCACAAAAAACATTGGACACACAATCTACATCCAATATCCGCCCATCCCACCTACAGTACATAAAACTTAATTCTTTATGCCTTTTTTCCCTAAACCTAACCCCAGAAATCCACATAATCAACAGAAACTAGCAGAACCATGAAGAGTAATATAAGGATAGTTGATAGAACATACTCGACAGATGGACCAGACCAGTCAGGAACTTCTGCTTGAAAATCATGACCAATTCGAACACGGGTTGTATATGGCTCCGATTCTTTCAACATGGATGCAATAGGACTTAATTCACCCTTAAATTTTGCATTTCTACAATTGCTCCTTTCACTGCTGATATTCAATGCTTTACTGGCAGTTGTTTCCTTCAAAATTTTATGCTTCTTTTTCAAACAAGAGTGACAGAACCATTCATCAACTGGTATCTTCTTGATGAGGGGGTTGCAGCAAGAGACATGAAATGCCTCTTCACATTGATCACAAATTAGCATTTTCAGTGTAATCTCTGACTGATCACAAACTTTGCATAACCGCATATAGCTGCTATCAGTACTTCTACCAGGGACTTCATCAGAAGTGCAAATCCTAATAGGCCAAACTCGATCAAGAAGTCCATGGCTTTTAAGAATAGAGAAGCATATATCTTTTTCTGATAGATCATCCTGAAAACCCTCCACACCCAATGCACTAGAAGAGGAGCACTCTCCAGTGTCATCCACTTCAGTCCTCAAGGTCACTGAACCAAGTTCCACATTTGACTTTGATGACGAAGAACAATCATTTACACAGCAGAAATCTAAAGCTCTGTGGATATCATTTTTAGGGGCTTCTTTGGAACCAGGCTCTTCCCCAACTAAACTGCCATTAATGGATTCTGAATTCAAAACGAGGGCCTTTCTATTGCATTCAGCAGGAGGCATTACAGGGGCTCTAACAGCTTCACTTTCAAGATCAACAACAGAAACTATGAGTCCCTCCTTTGCTGCCACCGAAGGGGCTTCGGAACTGATGGAAAGACAACTATCACTCAGCTTTGCTGATGCCTCAGGTGGAAAAATACCAACAGAATTCCTTCTGAGCTTCCTTCGCCGGTATACAAAAGCAGGTGTAGAACTCTCAGATATAGTACTGACAGTTGATAGCTGGGAACAACTACTTGCAAAATTTAATGAGCAGGAACCATCAATATTCCTTTTCCCCTCCATAGCCGGAACAACTTCTTCACAACCATCTTGAGGATCACTATTAGGATACTTCAGCCAAGTTTCAGCACCAGGCACCCAGTTTTCTTTCCCATGGTCAGATACGAAAGAAAGAGCAGCTTCAATTGAACCAGAATGCGAACTCTGAATCAACATCTTCACCTGAATGATGTTTACTAATATCAAGAGTTTTTTTTTTTTTTACATCAGAAAGAAGCAACTAAACTGGCCCCCTTTACATTTGACACATCAGAATGAAAGCCAATGTATTGAACCAGCTTCATTATTCTCCCATCCATTGACTTCATACTGCCACCTGATCATTTAGCAAAGTAATTAAATGAATGAAACAAATGAGTAACAAGGCCAATGTAGAGTAGGCACACAGGCCTGTTATATTCATTTCAAATGAAAAATAAATAAAAGAAAAGAAATCATCACTGATTCTATAAAAATAAAAAATAAAAAAACCGGAAATCAGTGACCCAAAAATGAAAGAGGACGGTTAAAAGATCATAAGAGTCATGAATACCGGTGACACCACAGACTGCATCAATATTAATATAGGACCACTAAGAAACTTCAAGTAGAGCAGCTTCCAAGTAGTAAACCCAAAATTAATGCAATGCAGCAGAAAGAAAGAAAAAAGGCTGTTAGGGTCTTTATATAACAACAAGAGGTTAAAATTTAGGGAACGAGAAGATAAGGTTTTAGAGTCTGTTTGTGAGCTTTTTCTGAACCCCATGAACAATAACTAAAGTGGGCAGGTTTTGTGTCATTCTAGATGCCGGGGTTGATTGATAGGAGAGTGAAAAGTCACAGCACATAAAAACAATGGATTGTTTATCTACTGAAATTGAATAAAATCAAAAGGAAAGAGAAGAAGAGTATTCTAGGCATCACACCCAAATTCCAAGGGCATCATTCAGCCTCTTACAGTTAGAATTGCATCACACAATCCCATGAGAGCTTCATAAGTTTCATAAAATTGTATAAAGCTGTATTTTTTTGGTTAATTAGTTATTTATATTTAGTATATGATTATTTTAGTCATTAGGGTTAATTAAGGTTTTGTTCTAGTTTACTTAGTGTAAACCAATTTTGTAAGAAATGATTATCGGGTATTAATGTAATAATAATTTCTTTATGTTCTTCTAAGCTTACATGGTGTTAGAGCTACCTTTGCAAGTTATCAGAATACATCATCAGAGAAATCTGTCGCAGTTGTTTTCTCCTCATACTCTTTATATGTTCTCTCTCTTAGTTGCACCTCATCGTGCATCAGCCAATTGCAACACAGTCGCAGCCCTCTCTCTAGTCAAAACTTCTTCGCAATGCAATCGCAACCTCCTTCTTCTGTTTTTTTTTTTTTTTTTGATAAACTGCAATCGCAACCTTCTTCTCAAACTGTAGTCTTCTTCGATTGCAATCCTCTGCTTCATCTCTTGTTCTCTCTCCGACAGTCTGCTCTCTCTCTCTCTGTTTTCGTTGCAACCTCAATGACCAACAATTGCTTCACAATCCTATTTCAATTCTTTTTAGCCTTGTGACTTTGTCTCCAACTTCCATCAACCCAAGCTTTTCAACCTTTGCATTCTCCCTCACGTTGCATTCTCTCCCTGCTTTCATCGCATCATGAACCCAAGCTATCACTTATGCTCACATCTCGATCACACTATGACCATTGTTACAATTGCAAATCCTTTTTGCATTCTCCCAATCACAAATCATCATTGAAGAAGACCCATAGACCCGACCCATCTCTCTAAGCTTGAAACTTCATTGTCTATTGGTCTTTTAACAACAAACCTCTTTGATCCAAAAAACCGAGCCACTGTGAACCAATTTATTTCCACTAGCTCTGATACTCCACCTACTATTGACATTGATCATCTTCAACGATGCTATCCCCATCATGCTCGTACTTCACCAGTAAGATTTGATTACTTAATTTTCTGCCTCTTACCGTGCTTTCCTGTCTTCTATCCATGCTTACTTTGAGCCTCATTATCACTTGTTTTGATTTTATTGTAATTTTTGAGGTGGAAACAATTGATACTCTATCTATATACAATTTGTGAAAGATACAGGAAATTAATTCTTTCTCAACACTTGTTTTTATCTCATCTAGTAAAGTGGTTCTTGCCAAGAAACAAAATTTCAATTCTTTCCATCGAAATGGCTAAAATGGTCCGTTTCCTAGATAATCAAAACGAAACATTAGTAGGATACCAAATTCTAATGTTCCACCAAAACACACCAAAACTCTACAAAACAAGCCGAAACAATAAGTTGTTTTGACACCTATTAAAAAATATTTAACATTGCTCTTTTTTATTTGCCTCTTTTTATCAAAAGAAAATCAACATCCAATTTTTTGAATGGTTGTCTTGAAACCTTGATAGTAACCGAATGTTTGACTGGATGAAAACTAACTTGTCAACTCTTGAAGTATATCTTCTTTTTATCAAAAGAAAATTTTGAGAGTAAGGAGAAGTATTTAAGTTATTATAGAATGTGAGAAGCTACGTAGAAGAAGATATGCTTCAAGAGTTGACAAGTTAGTTTTCATCCATTCAAACATTCGGTTACTATCAAGGTTTCAAGACAACCATTCAAAAAATTGGATGTTAATCCAAAGGATGCAATAATTGATGATTCCCAAGTGAGATTAGAAGAAATGTTATGGCAATGTTTGGAGGATAACAAAGACCATTCACAATCATATGAAAGAACCAAAGATCAACATACCTAGCATGGTTCAAGATTTCATGGCTGACGTTCAACGTCATTAACTAATTCTTCTAGTCCAATGCCTCATATGAGATCTCAACAATCACAAATTTCTAGCTTCATTAGACGAGGAGGTGTTGGAGCATCATCATCATCCAAGGATAAAGGGAAAAGATGGCATGATTTTTTAACAAGATGGGCCCTATAATCCTTTCCCCTTGATGGGCTAATTTCGAATCGGAAAGGAGTGATGGGCCACTAAAAACTACTCTCTTCTTAACTAATGAACCCACATCACTCTGGCCTTTTCCACCCTCTATAGGCCTAGCCTTCTCTTTCCCATCAATTAACACATGATTTAAATTCAAATTGTGGGATTTAATTGATGGTAAGTATTAAATTTTTGTTTTGATAACCGGGGAACCGTGTCTTAGGAAGGGTCTTTTAGGCCCATCCTAGGAGCATAAACCTAAGGATCAAGCAACACCCCCAACTCGAATGATCCAGGCAAACAAGAGGAGCTGGCAAGAGTAGAACCTGAGTTGGGCATATGAGAAGTAAACCCATTACCAACTAAGCTACCACTTAGGGGTAATGGTAAGTATTAATTACATATGCCCCTTAATTACCCTAATCAATAGCACCTTCATAAGGTGAAACTAAACAACTAATAAAATGACGTGTTTCAATGGTAGCATCCCTATAACTATTATTACCCTTAGTGGCATGAAAATCTCTATCCTTCGCCACCCATCTTCTCCCACATGAAAAATGACTAGGTCCCCCAGCATCTTCAACCTCTAGTCAATTGTATGGAATATCTGTGCTGCCATTTCTACTATTCCAATCGCAATCACAAATACCCCTTTTGATTGGCCCTGAAAAGGTCCTTAACCGTACGTTGACAGCCTTTCCATAGTCCAAAAACCAGTTGATGCCGGAATGAAACCATAATCAAATCCTCTGACTTCAATTTGTGCTTTAACAAATTATCGATCGATATCCACTAAACCCCCACATAAATACTAAATTTCGCAAAATATTTCAAGATTCCAATAAGTATATGGAAGTTCCTCAATAGCAATCCATCCACCATAAGAAGCGATCACCTCCGATATCATATTACCTTCACTCTTCTTTCTAGCAAATGATTCATTTGTTATCAAAGAGACGAAACGTTCCACTGTAATTCATTGTCTTCAAACTCAATATCATCGTGTGTGCGCTCAACTTCTAGTGTTCTTAAATTGTTCATAAATCTTGTTATGTTATACCAAAGACATAAGATGTTACTAAAATTAATTATTCTCCATAAAAGGAAACACAAAATCCAACAAAACAAGCACAAATCTACATACAAGAACCAATAAACCAATAGTAAACCATTAAGCCACAATTGCTAACTTCTACTTCTCTATTCCAAACCTAGAAATTTCAGGAAAGCAATAAATTAACCACAAATTTTGATAAAACCTAAAATATTATATCTCAAAATTAAAGATAATTACTAGAAATAGAGATCATATGATAGGGCCTAATAATGAATCAGAGAATCTAAGACAAGATTTAGATCACAAACACAATGTATCAAAACAAATACAAATATAGTGCATGTGGGTTGTGTATATCTATACCAAATCATTAACAATGGAAGAAGCCAAACCAAGTCCCCTTTATTTTCTTCCGCACAACTTTCCCGGAATCGAAAAGAAAACTAGATTTCTCTCTTCATCACTGGAAACACATGGAATCGCAGTGTTCTCTCAAAAAGCTCAATCCTTTTGGGCTGAAACGTTCGTTCCCAAACTGGAATTGGCTTCGCAACCCAAAAACAATATTGAATGAGGAAAAAAGGATTCACATGGGGGCACAATGCTTTGTTTGTTTTGGTTTAGTTATTATTATTATTTATAATTAAAAAAATGAAAATTAAAGAAAAACTTATTTAATATTTATTTTTTATTTTAAAGATTATAAAGGGTTTACAGAATTTATTAAATTTTCAAAAATATTGATTTATATTTTTGAGAAAAAAATTATTTAGTTTAACTCAATTTTATGAAAATTAAGTTTTTTATTTTATGGATTTTTTTGAATGTTTTACACAAATTTTTTATTTTGTGGATACATCTAATCTTGATACACTTAAAAAGTATAATATTTATGAAAAAAAATTTAAAAAAATTCACCAAATACAAATATTACAAAAAGAAAAAAGAAAAAAATAATATTTTATCGTATTTAATAAATATTTTAAAGATTTTTGTTCAAATTTTATACTTTTAAATATATCAAAATTAAGCGGATCTAAAATTATTTTTGAAAATTCCAAACCAAACACCTTTCTTCCACTCCATGCAACTTTCACCCGCTGCTCACCAACATCGACAATCATTGTCGATAATCTCTTCTAATAACCCAGTAGCGGCAACTCCATGTTGTCTAAAATCATCTTCAACTAACCTCTAGCAAGAAACAACCACTTCCAGCCACCATTTCTTATTATTGACAATCACCTTCAACTACCATCTCTTAGTAGCCACCTCTTTCACTTGTTTTTTAAATAAGATTTTAAAATACATATGTATACCAAGCATATTTTGTATTGTCATTTTGATTAAAAATAAACATAAGCATATTTGTACAATAGCATGGATGTGTTTGCAATTTTACAATTAAAATTGTTCTCTTAGTAACTACTCCTTTCACTTGTTTTTTAAATAAGATTTAAAAATACATATGTGTACCAAACATATTTTTTATTGCCGTTTTGATTAAAAATAAACATAAGCATATTTGTACAATTTACCAAATAGCATTGATGTGTATGCAATTTTACAGTTAAAATTTTTGTATGGTTTGATGAACAAGGAAACTATTTAGCAATTTTGAACAAGTTAATGAATAAGAAAAAATCACTTAGCAGTTATTGAATGCGATAATTATTAGATGTGAAACACAAGCTTAGAAAAAATTAATGTAAATGAATTCACACCAAATCAACTGTACATCTAATAAAACTGGTCTAAAACACTTAACCAAGCTTATGCAATGATGATACTTGGATATGAAAGTTGTACTTGATGTGGCAATGGAGATTACACCAACTTGATTGTGCCAATGGAGGATTAAAGAATTTGCATTTTGAAAATCTAGTCCAAGTGGATGTTGAGTCAAATGACTCAAAGTCTAACACCAAGTCTAAGTATTGAATTTGTGTCATCCAATTATAATAATCTAAATTCATCCAAGTATACTGAATCTGAATTTAGTAAGTTTGTTGAGTATGAATTTGAGTGAATAGTAAAACTTATGGCTAGCTATTCTTTTGAATTTGATTTTTTTTGTAACAGAAGATTTCAATAATTTGATTTTACTTATTGTTGTACCTGAGATAGAGTCTGTGGATACTAGTAGTCAAAATGAAATTGATTATAAAATGGCCCAACTACAGAAGAAATGATAACAATAAATTTAAGTAACGAAAAAATCCTTGACTGGCCCATATTGGCTCTACCTTGTATTATGAACAATAGTTTTGGTAAAAGAAAATAAAAATATTTTAGCATGATTCTACAAAAATATATATGGATTTATCAGGAGATCGTCTAACGTCGTTTTGTGTGGATTGGCTTCTCAAGATGAAAGAGGAAATTACCAAGCAGTTCAATGTTGGGTTTCTAATGGTTGTAGAGTATCCACAATGGATAACGAATATAGTGTCAATTTTGAAGAAAGGTGGAAAGATCAAAGTACTTGTGGATTCGAAGGTCTCAAGAAGGCCCATCCGAACGATAACTTTCCACTCCCTCACATAGATATATTAGTTGATAACGTTGTTGGACACACATTGTTGTCATTTCTGGATGGATTCTCGGAATACAATCATATCAATTATGGCACCAGAAGATAGAGAAAATACTACATTTATCCCTAAGTGGGGAAGCTATTGCTACCTGTCATGCCATTTAGATTGAAAAATACCGTAGCCACGTACTTGAGGGCAACTACTAGAAGTCAAAATGGTATGCATTTAGACTTTTCAAATTACACTTTATAGTCCATAACTCAGGGTTACTTGATGGGTTTGTGTTGTTTCATGTGTTTTCAAGTAGATTGGGTGCTTACACTAAAATGACATAACTGGGAAACTTTTTAAGCTTAAATGGATAATTGGAAGACTTCGATTCAAATTCGTGAGTTAAAGGCTTGAAGTGAATAGAACAATTAAAACATAATTTATGAGGTTTGGAGAATAAAAGATTGGATTTTGTACAATCTTGCTATAAGAGCTACTTTGCACAACCTTAGTATTTTGATGATATATGTCTCATCTGATATCGAATCGAGGTACATCAAGTGGTGTTGTAAAAAAAGACTTAAAGAGATATAATTTTGTGTGAAATACAAATTTTCTAATTCAGATGTTTACTATGTCAAAATGGGTCAACAAAAATCTATTGCTACCAAACTTTGCACGTATAAACGAAATGGGTCACACGTGTGGCCATCACCAATAATTTATTTTTAGCTATTGTCTGAGTCTACACGTGTGGTGGAATTGCGCCACACATGCGACATCACCTCAAAAAATGCATTCTATACCTATTTTGGTTAGGATTGACCCAAACCTTATAAATAGAACTTCTAAACTCGAAACAACGGATCTTGTTTGGCGTTTGGAATTTTTTCTTGGGTTTAAGAGCTGTTTTTCAAATCAAAACATACAAATTGAAAACTTGAAAATTTGTTTTTGAAAACTCTAAAACTAAACAGATTATTTCATGCAATTTTGAGTATGTATAAGTAAATTAGCATTTTGGCCACCTGAAACTTTTAAAAATCTCATTATTTCAATGCAATTTTGAGTGTTTATATAATATAAATTCATATTGTGGCCCTCCTAATCATATATATTATTAAAAGTAGTGTTTTTCTCATATTTAGGTCGCACGTTATAAAGACTTACTTTTTTCTAAAAAAGTCACGTCAACATGTATTTTCTTAATTACGTATAGAGTTGTAGACAAATTCAAACTTAATATAAATTATACTAACTTTACCTATTTTATATGGACTCTATTTGACAAATATTTCTTTTCCATATAGTTTTTATGGTAAATTGAGATAATCACAAACTCAATACCAATTTTGTGTGTCACATTTTTCTTCTTAATTCTTTCAAGAGTATTAAGATTTTTTTTTAATGTTAAATTATTTTTTTTCTTTTCTTTTTTTCCGTGTATTATTCTATACCTAATACCAATTATATATTATTATATATTATGAATTTGTCGTTTAAATTTTATAATGATTCTATATACGAAATTATATTTTCTTTTCTATATTATTTTATATAATCACAACTCACAAAAAAAAAAAAAAAAACTGCACAATATAATACTCCGAAGTAACCTTTAAAATTTAGATTTACTACTTCGAATTACTTTTTCAATTGTTAAATAATAAGTTCTTTTATGTTTTGATATCATATTACAAATGATTAATCACTTCACACATTGAGATGTATCTATCACTTGGATGTTTTAATTATTTTTTCTTTTGGGTTTAGATGTTGTTATGTGATTATTTCTTAATTAGTTGTTGTTGAATTTCTTTTATATAATTGATATTTTAATTTAATTAAGAATGTTTATTTTACAATCTTATAATTATATATATGAAAAATGTGTTGTAGCTCGAAACCTATTGTCCGGAATGGCTCCATTTTCCGAAACGACGACGTTTCGACTTTTTCTTCTTTTTTTTCTCTTTTTCTCTTTTCCTCCTTTCCCTTCCACTTCTCGTTTCTTTTTCAAAAGTTGAACCAAACCCAAACAAACAGAGTGAAAAAGAGAAATAGCAGAGGAAGAGAGGAAATAGGGAAGGAGGAAGAGAGGAAGATGAGGAGAAGAAATTGCTGTTTTGGTATTGTTTTTGCTCAAATTGCTACTGTTTTGCTGTTGTTTTAGTATTGTTTTTATGCTGAAATTGGTGCTTTTTGGTGATGAAATTGGGGCTATTTTTGTACTAAAATTGGGGCTTTTCTGTGCTGAAATTTGAGCTATTTTTTGCTGAAATTAGTGTTATTTTTCTTCATCTTCTTTTTCTTTTCTTTTTTTCTGCTGAATTTGCTATTGAAATTGGTTTTGATTTTAGATTTAAATTTTGATTTTGGGTTTGATTTTTTTGGGCTCCTTCTTCTTTTTCCTTCTCTAATTTTTTAGATTGCCCAAGGGAAAGGAAGAAAAGGAAGCAAAAAGGGGGGAGGAGGAAATTGGTTTTGATTTTGATTTTGATTTTTTTTTTTCCTCAAATTAGATTTTGGGACTATTTGATTTTTTTGGGCTCTTCTTCTTCTTCTTCTTCTTCTTTAATTTTTTAGATTGCCCAGGGAAAGGAAGAATAGGAAGCAAAAGGGAAAGGAAAAAAAAGAAAAAGGTCAAAACGATGTGTTTCCCACAATCGAGCCATTCGGGGCAATCACTTTTCGAGCTACCCAGCAACTCCGTATATATATATATATACATGGGTTATTTTTGGATAAATTCTCTTTCTAAATGTTTTATTTCATCTAACTCATATTTTTTTTTTAGTATTTCATTAAGTCATGTTCAATGTAAAATGACCAAATCATCCTTTCTAATTTTTTTTACATGTTTTTATTTTGAAATTAATACATAACAATAGTTTCTCATTTTATAGAGAAAATCGCTCATTCATTCTAAAAAGAAAATCTTTTCCTTATCCTATAGAGAAATTCTCTCTCTTATTCTAATAAGGAGAAAATATTTCCTGCATTTTATGGAGAAAATTTCAAATTGTGAATTTTAAGTTTTTTTATAATTTGAAAATTTAAAAAATAACCCAACAAAAAATTTAAATGAAAATCAAAATACAATGTAAATATTTACAGTAAACAACAAACATACAACTAACTTTTGAAAAAACAAACACTACAACAAAACTGAGTTTTTATAGCTCCACATTAACGACACACAGTAAATGCAAGCCGTGGTTTCTTACTTTTACGACATATTTTTTTTACATGTCGTAAATAATTTTTCAATCACGACGTGTCTAATACGTAGGCCGTGAATACTAATAATGATGATTTTTTTACAGCTTGCAATGTTAAACGTAAATAATAAAACTTTATACAACGTGTATATGACATGCTGTTAATATATCAACTATACACGACACACGTACACCAACCATTAAAAATATTAAACATTTTACGATGTACAAAAAGCCAGCCGTTCAAAATATAATATTTTTTATGAAACACAAAAAGTTAGTTGTTAAAAAATACATTTTCCACGACACACATATGCTAATCGTTAAAAATATTTTACTTTTCACAACACTTAGGCCAAGTTTGGCATCTTCAAAAAAATCTAAAAAGTCAAAAAGTCACTATCCTATTTAAGTCACATCATCTCATTTAAGTCACACCACCTCTCTAACACATCACTTCAAATCCAAAGTCAAAAAATATATTTATTTAATCTTCCAAAACTTAGTCTTAATTTCTATCTTTGAATAGTATCACCAAACCAAAAATAGGTGCCAAAATAAAAATTTTGAGCGCCAAACACTCAAAAAAAAATAAAAAATAAAAAATCCCAACTCTTCAGCCCAAAACCAGAAACCCTAACCTCCTACTCATCATCATCAACAGATCAAACCTCCACAGACTCCTCCATGCTCGTTCCAATCTTCCACATCATATACGGTCCAAACCATACACGGTTACACTTCCTCTCTCTCTTCCATCTCCTCTCTCTCTCTCTCTCTCTCTCTCTCTCTCTCTCTCTCCTCTTCTGCCTCCGACGCCACCTTCACCGCCACTGTGACTATCGTGCCGCCGCCATCACCTCTACTACCGCCCCCTCTCTCTCTCTTCTCGGCCTATTGCTTCAGGACATCGATTTGTTTCCGGCAGCTTACTTCTCTCTACATTTTTTTCTCTCCCCATCTTCTCTTTTCCTCACCAGATCGGCGACGATCTCCCCGCCCTTTACTCCTCTTCCATGGCCGCCGCCGTCTTCACCCTCACATCCACCGCACACCACCACCACCACCACCACCGTCTTCACCATATTCGTGCCATTCTCGGACGACGGCGATATGAGATATGAAGGCTTCAAATCTGCAGGCATTGTTTCTGGAAGTTTTGATTCAAGTTTTTTCATCAAAATTGGGGATAATGGAGTTTCTCAATCATCGGCGCTGAGATCATTTCTGGTATTTCATCTGGATTATAACTATTTATTTTCTTAAATTTTCAAATTAATGATTTTATGATTTCAATGATAATTATAGGCTCATCTCGATTATTCTCGAATATTCAAAAAATTTCATAGTTCAATAAATGTGTAAACTGATGATCTGTATGGGATTTAAATTAAAAAACCTGAAGTTTATAAATGTCTGACAATGAATTTGTGTAACGATTTCATAACTATCTTGTTGGAGAGTAATTCCTGATTGAAAAATAGTCGAAATCTAGAGGAGGCCCTTCTACAAAAATTTCCAGTCTCAAATTCTCTTGATCCTTGTTTGTTTTCATTTTCCCCAAGGAATGGCCACAAATTTGGGATTTCTGGTTCTAATACTATCTGTAATATTTGTATGCGAAGCTGTGATATTTCATCCCATCTCGGAATCTCACCGATTTGCTGCATTAAAGCTCTTCACGCCACTCCATGCATGGATCTTTTGGAAGGTCAAACTAAACCCTAATTAAACCCAACTTTCTTTTTCCCCCTTTATATTTTCATTTGATTTACTTGTGCTCCTTCATTATTTTATTTATTTCTGTAATTGAAAATTTCGATAATCTCCGTTTGTTTCTTGAGAAAATGCACCATTAGAAAATGAATCAATAATTATTGTTGATCTGCCAAAAAGAAATAGTTAGTAGATTCTTTGGATGTTTGGATGTTAGAAAAACACAACCATAAATGATTAATGTTATATATTTAAGATTAAAATCTGATGATAGTTGCAGCTGTTCTTCATTTGTTGGTTTATCTAGAGGTTGATGTTTTTCAATCTGCTTTATGCAAAGGTTATCAGTTAGAAAATCTGGATTTGGTCCACACACAGTATCAGTTTAGAAAATCTGGATCTGCAGAGGTACTTTCTGTTCTTTACGTTAGTTCCTGCTTCTTTTTTTTTAATTTATTTATTTTTTCATCCGAGTTACAAAGTGATTTGAATCATAGTTGTCAAATATTGAATCAAAATCTCCTTTTTGTTGAATTGTGAATTGATTTGGGTTGCAAACAGTAAAGATTCTGTTTTAATTTTTGATACGTAAAAATATATCTAAACATATAGATATTAAAGATACACTATAAATACGATATAAATAAATGAATTGCTTCTTTTAAATGATGGACATGGGTGTAATAGGGAAGATGCTTCTGTCTATGTTTAGTTTCATATATTACGAAAAACAATCTTTTTAAATTAATAACAATCTTGCTAAGAACTATTTTTCTATTTAGTTCACTATCCATAGAAAATCCTAAATGGTTGAGAAGTGTTGTGTTGGGTTATGTTTAATTTGATATTTTTCTTATGATCAGTAACAATTAATTTGATCTGCCTCTTCCTGTAGGCTTCACAATGAAAAAAAAAAAGTCTTATGACCCCGTTTGCTTTCTGCTATCTGCCATGCTGTCTGTCAAGTCTGTAGACATTTTTTTGGACATCACATACTTAGCTATGTGGCACGTAATCTAGAGCAACTAGATGTAGTAAGCTCATTCTTTATAGGATACGTGCAACATGGCTAGGATTGCTTGAGAGAATGTAGATTTGTCCATATGGAACCAAAGTTTTCTTGATTCACCATCACAGCAACACCTAGCTAAGTCAACTAATTTGTTAATGTTATTCTATTTTTTGTTTTGTTTTTTTGTTTTAATTTATATTAAGAGGCAAGTGCTGAATTGTGTGTTAGTGATGTAAATCAAAATCAAAATATCTCAGTAAGCTACATTTGGTGTTGAAATTCAAAAAAGAAAAGAAAAAACATATCATAGTATCTAATAAGGGTTTACCCATGTTTGGTTGCTCAGAAAATTGGCCAAATTCTTTTGAATTATGCTTATTATAGTAGTAATCTATATATACCTTTGTTTGGGTTATGAGAAAATGGGCTCAAATATGAAAACACGAACTTGATTATAAATGGAACTGTTCTATCAAACTTAAGTACTTGGCTGATTTTGGAATTGAAAAACCTGTAAATGCGTCCCTTGTTTGGCTGCTGAGAAAACAGGGAAAACTTAGGGAAGTTTAATTTTGAATGAATACTATGTAGATAATAGAAAGAATACAATCGAGAAATCAATGCTTTCAAATACAAATTGTTTTCCCAAATTTTAGGACTTACATTTTGTCGGGTACCAATCGATTTATGAGTAAATTTGCAGTTTATTTATTTATTTATTTATTTTGGTGATTTGCAGTTAATTTGCTAAAACCCTTCGCTTGGTTGCTAAGAAATGGGTGAAATAATAAAAAACAAATGAGTTGTTGAACTATGAAAAACAGAACTTGACATCAAGTGCAGCAATTCTATTGAAACAAATGAGTTGCTGAACTATGAAAAACAGAACTTGACATCAAGTGCAAGTTCTCATTTGTAACCCTTAGTGTTTGGGTTTGCTTGTTTTTGCTCTTTTTATGATGGCTGTGTTTTACTTTCATCATGTTCCTTTTCTCTGTATGAGGATTTCTTGTCCTCCTTTCTTTCTTCTTTAATAAAATAAATTTCGTTGTTGTTTCAAAAAAAAAAAAAAGAACTTGACATCCAGTGCAGCAATTCTATTGAAGTTCACTTGGTTGCAAGAAGATATCTATATATCTGACAGCCGTATTTGAAAGTAACAGTTTAGAGAGAGTCTAGAGATTTTTATTACCTATTTACTTATGGATGGAAACTTATTACATTTTCTTTAATGACAGCATAAGAAAATAATTTACATTCTTGAAAGTTTATTTGGCTTGGATTGAGATCTTCATCATATGCGTTTTAATCTATTATTTGTTAAATATGTAAATCTTAATTAAGATTATATTGTAAGCATAGGATTTTTTTTATCACTCAAACACTCTAGTGCCTCTAAATTTCCTTTGACATGCAGAGTTCAAAAAATTTTGCTATTTTGTTTCTGATATTTCTATATTGGTACTTTTGAAGCAAATGATGACGATGCATTGCTATTCTTTGCTTCTGCTATTGATGGATTAACTTTAACTCTAGGGATGCTACTTTAACATACAAGGCTGAGGCTTTGGAATTGCAGAGACAGCCTAGGCAAACTGCAGACTCAGTATGATATGGTCTCTGGTCAGGCTTCAACTTTGATCCAAGGAAGAAGGGCACAAGTTGCGGCAACATCTAGTGTGCTTAAGAATACCAATGTCAGACTTACGGACACTGTTAATCAAGTGATTGAGCTAGTATTTTCTACAGATTTGAATCAATTTGTGTTCCAGGGGTGGGATGGGGGTAGGAAATTTCTATCTATATTCAGTTGTGCTTTGTTGTAGACCCTTTACCGGATTTGATGGAGAGTTTTTCTTTTGTTCTAGCAAAGGTCCAGTCGAAATTTCTTTATTGATATTATACTGTTGTGCGTAATTCTTGGGATTGCTGCTTATCTGTACAAGTTCCACTCTCTCTCAATGGAAAGTAGACACTTCATCACATTTTGTTAGTATTTGACATGCTTAATGGACTGTAGAAAACAATTTCATGCATAGAAGGGTGAACTTGTAATTAGACACATAGAATTGTACTTGTAAACTAAACTGAGTGCATAGTTAATTTGGTTGGATTTTCATGCAGACAAGAAATGAATCAGTTGCTTCAGCTATTGCTGCGGGTTTAGGTGTCTAAACACAAATATTGGGCACCCTCGTCCTGATAGGAGCAAGTGAATTTGCTACAGCTGTAGGAACTGCTGTCGGTAATTTTAGATAATCTCTTAATAGTTGTTGATATGTTTAAAAAGTTATATATGCATAGTTTTAGATGGTCTAAATTTTTTGTACAGTTTAGAACTTATGGATTTAGTTTTCAAATGTTTGGAATGTATAGACAATTGTTAAATATTTATAATTTAATGATATAGCTTCTTTTTTATGTTTCAAATAATATTTTGATGATTGATTGATATTTTGTGATGCTTGTTTGTAATATTTGTTATATTGTACAAAATTGGTCAAATAGAACCTGTTGAATTTGAAGGGGAAAAAAAAAAATGCGTGTTCTACGACAGGCATAATAAGTCGTCGTATTACATATTTTACGACACACAATTAGCGTCGTTATTGGTCTCACCAATTAACGGCGTGCAAAAGTAGTCGTAGAAAAAGTAATAACGACGCACGAAATCTGTCGTTAAATAGTTTTTAACGGCGTACTATACTATGTCGTAGAAAAAGTAACGACGATGCACAAAATTTGCCGTTAAATAGTTTTTAACGGCGTATGAAGTATGTCGTTGAAAGTAAATGGCTTTCCATGACTGGTCATAATATGACGCGCATTGCATGTCGTAGAAGGGTTTTTACGGCGTGCATTGTGTGTCGTAAACATCCTTTTTTGTTGTAGTGAAAATATATATTAAAATACAATGTGAATGCTCACAATAAACAACATACCACTAACCTTTTAAAAAATAAAATTCATATCAAAATACAATATGAATGTTCACAATTTATAATTAACATACAATTAGCCTTAAAAAAATAACTCATACTAATGTAAACATTTACACTGCAATGTGAAAATATAAAATAAAATTAAAAAAAATGAAAATCGACTATTTTAATTGTTCAATGGTAACAAAAATGATTATTCAACTAACAAGTATGGTAACAAAAACAACAAACACACAATTAAATTTCGAAAAAACAAAACTTATACCAAAATATAATGTAAATGTTTACAATTTACAATTAATATACAACTAGTTTTAAAAAAAAATAAACTCATACCAATGTGAACATTCACACTACAATGTAAAAACATAAAATAAAATTGAAAAAAGTAAAAATCAACTATTTCAATTGCTCAATGGTAACAAAAATGATTATTCAACTAACAAGCATAGTAAAAAAATAACAAAATACAACTAACTTTTGAAAAAAATTTAAAAAAAAATTCATACCAAAATACATTGTGAATGTTCACAATTTACAATTAACATACAACTAATCTTAGAAAAACTAAATTCATATCAATGTAAATATTCACACTGCAACATGAAACAAAATTGGAAAAAAAAGAAGACTATTTCAATTGTTTAATGGTAACAAAAAATGATTATTCAAACAACAAGTATATTAACAAATAACTAATGATATGTGAGCATTCACATTCTGCAAAATATATAATTATGTCCATATTTATATTCCAACACTTACTTCTCAGACTTTCAAACAATGTGAAATGTGAACATTTACAATGATTGACAAAAAAATAAAAATAATGGTAACAATAGAATTAGAAATCAAAAAAAAAAAAAAAAAAAACTCAATTGCTTTAAAAACAAAAAAATATCACCCACATTCTCATCTTCATCATCATCTTTATCATTATCACTATCATTAACAATATATGCAATTTCATCATTCCACCAATTTGAATCAAACAAAACCCACATTTGAAGAATATGTTTGTAACAAAATTGATTGAATATAAACAGAGTTTCGACTTACAACAATGAAAAAACATAGAGTTTCGAACACAGAACAACAATGGACGAACACAAAATTTCAAACACAAAGTGACAATGGAATAACACAAAACTTCACCACAACAATAGAGGAACATAATATTATTTCACTACTATGTGTAAATTAGAGTTTCTAAACCCTACCAAATGGAGAGTTTCAAACCCTAGCATAATGAAACAATACCACAAATGTGAATGACACTAATCAAAAAGAAAAACGTAAATAATAGTAACTACCAAAATAGAGGTACCAACAAAAAAGAAACGTGTATATCATTTTTCTATATAATACATATCAACCATAGATATAAATGTACAATAGTCTAACAAACAATATAACTCGGAAAAAAAAAAAAAAGATGTCATGAAATAAAAGTATAAATACATAGGATTAACTAGGTTATAATTTTCATTGGTGGACTTATTGAGTTAGAACACCTCGAAATGGGATTTATCAATAAAAAACACTAAAATGATTATATGATAATCCATATACAGCATATTTTATTTTATTTTTTAGTAAATTTTATATAATTTCTATTTCTACATATTTTTATTTTTCAAATGAATATAAAAGAAAATTAAATAGTTAGAATTACCTTTAATTTTATGTTACTAATTCTTCTTCTAATTTATCTATTATTTTTAATATCAAAATGAGTATTTATTTTACTATTTTATAATTTAATATATATCATACAAAATTATATGATAATTACCCTTTTATAATACGATAAAATTAAAATTATCAAAATACACAAATAATTTAACTGAAATTAATATATATAAGTATTTAATTAATAATTTTATAGAACGATAGCACCAATATTATCAAAATAAATAATTAAAATTATACTTTAATTTTATAATTTTAATTATTCTTTTATAACGCACATTGTACCATCAAATATTTTTTGACAAATATAACACGTGCATTGCACAGGTCAACTGCTAGTAAATTGATATAATAAAGAAGGCTAATATTTTCAATGCAATTTTCCGTATTTACTTTAATCCCTCTAAGATTTAAATAGTTTTATATTATTATTTAATTTTATGGATTGAATATAAACTTTTCTTGAGGGTTATATTACAATTTTCAAAGTCTTTCAAGACGATCATGACTAGCTTAACTACATGTATATGGTTGTTAATTACAAGATTTTATTACAGGGGTTCGTAATTAGTCAAAGAAGTAGGTGTCACCTTAATATAGTTGTTGACAATATATATTCTCTCACCAAAAGAAGGTTTTTTCGGTTGATATTTAGGTTAGTTTTTGGTTTCTCAAAGACACCCTAAGTTATATCCTTCCACATAAAACAAAAAAAAATTGTTAAGCTCTCCAAGACATAGACCAAAAGGTTGATTTAAAATCAAGTCACAAAGATTGGTCAACTAGATTGTTTCAATTAAAGAGGGCACTACTGCCACTCCCTCGACTACCGTCATCTCTCAAAGTCGCCACTTCTGATCATCATGATTACCTTTCTCCCTTACGTGCTGTAACTTTTATAACTGTGATTTACTCTCCATTCCCCATTCTGCCACCGCGACTCATCTCCTCTGCCACAACATCCTTTTCGTCTCTCCACCTGCACAAATGTTGCCATACCCTCTACCATTGTGAGCGAGCGAGCAAGCGAGAGAGAGAGAGAGAGGAGTAGATCTCGGATTTTTTTGGGAGGGTTTTAGATTTAAGAATAAGAGGAAGAGGATGACGATGAAGGGTGGCAAGTTAAGGCAGAGAGGGATTGGGGGTGGCCCTAGCAGCAATGGATAGTAGTGCCAACAATAACAGTAGTGGTGGTTGGTGGAGATAGTAGTGAATGGGTTGACTAATTAAGATTAGATGTTTTAAAATTGTGTCTTTTTTGATAATTTTAGATAAAGACTATATTGTGATAAAAAAAGAAAATGGAGAGTATAATGAGACAAATGTGTAATGTAAATAGAATCACCCTTCCATGATTTATATTTGATAATTATCTTATATATATGGGACAGTGACCACATTTACTCAAAAATTAGTTTGGTGAAGCCTCGAATACCCTTTAGGGAAAAATGGTGTTTTATAAGGCTTATTTTGGGCCAACTTTGAGCCCAAAATTGAGTAGGTCCCTGTAACAACCCTCATACTATTTACCGATTAATGACTGATTGATTACCGATAACCATCGATTACCGTTAAACTGAATTGATCATGACTGATAATTGAACTGAGTAAAAGTACTGAATTGACTGACCGAAATTGAAACTGAATGGAATGAATACATCTGTTTGAATTGCATTTTATCTGTTGACTGTTTGTTTGATCTGTTCGTATTTTAGTGTTTAAACTGCTAATTGAAGGCCTTATCAGCGGCCGAATCCGAAATTGATTGATGTTTTATGATCGTCATAATTAATGAGATTTTATGGTATAATTATCTGAAAACTGATTAGGTATGCTTACATTAGATTAAATAAGCTAATTAAAGAGTTGGACTTAATTACCGTTTTGCCCTTGAGTGGGCCACTACCTCTACACCTTGAGCTCACTATACTTGAGCCAAAAACATTTTTCTCAGCCTTCTTCTTGTTCTTGCCGACCTTGAGGGAGAGAGGGAGAGAATAGAATTGTTCTTGGGGGTTTGGCTTAGTCAACTTGAAGAATTGCTTGAAATTGAAGTGTATCTGCCTATTTGAGCTCCCTCACTTCTAATTCTACACCTAAGGTAGATCATTCATCATCTTAATGGTGTCTTTGAGTTATTCTTGCATGATTCATGCTTCATTGTAGAACTAAGTCATGAATTGGTTTATTGTTGTTGAATTGAAGCTTAATTGTTGCATGCATGTACATATATTGAAGTTTTGAGGTTGTAGTTCATAATTCCTCACATGCATGTTCATAATTTTGTAATGGTCCATGTTTTCAACTTGTTTTTGGATCAATTGGCTCCCTAGAGCATCAAATTGAAGCTT